TACCTCCGAGATTCCTTCAAGTGACCTCTGGTCCAGACAGCAGAGGGCAGCGATTCCTACCCGCCCTTCCACAGAGAGTAATGTTCATTGGACGACAGCCAATTTGACATTTCTTTATCTCATAGCGGGATAATTTAACCAATGACGGGTGCCTTGTGCAGTCATCGGTGACCGGGCCGAAATGCTGGCGAGTGCGATGTTGTGTTAATGTGAAAGACCCAACGAATAAGATTCCTGGGTATGATCTTCCACTGTACAAACCATGGCAGATGCGGATACCTGCTGCACAAATATTAAATGTAAAACCCTCCAGTGTGCGACTGTGGTCATCCAGAACAGACCGTAAACGTATAACGACACAATGCCCAATCCACAAATAGGAGACGTCACAGCGATAGCCACTCCGCTGCTCCCGACGCGGTTGTCTGGCTTGACCACCTGAATGTGAAATTGTAGTTATTGCTCTGCATCTACTTCAGCAGCCAAACGAAATAAGAAGATTGATACCATCAGCATCAACACCACTTTAGTATTTATTGGCACATCATCATTCTCAATCAAATGCTGGATGAATGCTGCTCCATCCCGATCGCACATCTTGTCACCGCTGTTACCTCTTCATCGGTGCCACCGACAGCGCAGTCTGTGTCTCTCCCTCGCCCCCCGCGGCCACGCAGACGAAGAGATCGAAGAAGGAGAAGGTTTCTTCGAAGCCCGCGAAGAAAGCGCGCACGGAGGCGAGCACCTCCAAGCCGGCGGCGCGTGCCCAGGAGTCTGAAAGTGACAACAACATGTTCCAGGTGCGGTGACACCTCGCTCGTAGATTCCCCTCCACCTCACCTCACCTGCCGAGGATTCGGTCTCCCCAGACTCTCATCTGAACTGTGTGAAACACGCTCGTTCGGCCGCTCGCTCCACCATGATATCACCCACGCTCACCCATTCACCCACACATTCGCCCACACGCTCGCTCACTTGCCTGTTCACTTGCCCACTCGCTTCCCCCATTCACCATACCGGAAGTCACATAATTTTTCTATTTCTTCACTCGCACTGCTCCACTTTGGATTTCCCTCCCATTGTCTCTCCCCCCCTCCCCCAAGTTCTTGCAATAACCTTGCTCAATTTAAGAAATGTCTTACACTCTTATCTATTATAACTTCGATAGTGCTGTTTGTTGCTGGCACATTTGTGCCTTTCTCGGCCTGCGCTCGGCAACTGTGTAACAATATACAGACAATAGCAATGCACCAACACGTCACGCACCAGCACACAAGCATACACGCATCGTAGCGCGGCCGTGACGCGGTTGTTCGGCGGCAGTGCTTGCCGCTCGCGCGGCTGTGGCGATGGGGTGGTGGTGGCGGTTGCGGTTGTGTGTGCCTGTGACCGCCTGCCCGCCGCAGCTGTCCAAGATGCGGTACGTGAGCGTGCGCGAGTTCAAGGGCAAGGTGCTCGTCGACGTGCGCGAGTACTACGACAAGGACGGGGACATGAAGCCCACCAAGAAAGGTGCCCCCCCCCCCCCCCCCACTGAGCCCCCCATCACACACGCAGGTCGAGCAACTTCTGATGACAAAACGCAACACAGTTGGCACGGTTGGCTGCGTACGGCGCGAAAGAAATTCAACATGCATACATACACATACAAACACGCCTTCAAATAATACTCTTAGATAAGCACACAACTTTCTCTGTGAAGAACGCTGCACTTTCCGTCGTCTTCATGCAGGGGGCGCTGCAAACATACGCGCCCCCTGCATGAACGACGGAGGTGCAGGGACAGACGTTCGATTACGTTGGCATCGATCTGCAGACGGCGGTCTTCTCGCACGGCCAGCAGCTCGATGTCGCCTTAGCTCGATCCCGCAATTTCCAAAAAGGTGAAAGTCCGCATCGAACCTAGCCCCCAGCAAGGCCATCTACTTAACGACGAGAGAAAATTCACACGAAATGTCCTTTTCAATGAAGTCTTCCGGATGTAAAATGATACAAGCTTTTAATGAAGAAATAAAATTATCTAATTCAAAACATAATCCAATTCAAAGATGTTTAATTTAAAAACTTCATAACGGAGCATCGGGTAGGTTGCGTGAATACGTCGTTCGTGTGCAATTTTTTTGTTGTGACTTTCCTGGCAGAAGGCTGTACATGGTTGTTCGGGGGCGCTCCCGAACAACCCCTAGTACATGTATAATAGGCAACATTTCTGTCAGCCCTTCTTCATCGCACATTAAGAGAAGGGCCATTACCCCAAACGTCGCATTTTATGTATAAGTATGTATTTGAAGCCACCGTTATTGACGAATGTGGTGTTTTTATGTTAACCGTGCTTGTGCACCACCGCCAGCGCAGCATCACTGAGGGCTGACGAGGTCAGGCTGGGTCCGTAGGTGGTGCCAATGACAATAAAACCACTTCTATTGGGCTATCATTTGTGGCCAGGTCTCATCTGAAAAAAAGCTACATAGCTGAAGTGGGTCTGACCTGATAAAATCATTTTATCTTACTGCTGGTGCTCCGTGCCAGTTGGTGCCGGTGGTTGTGTTGGTGGTCCTACAAATGTTGCTGGCAGTCGTGTTGGTGGTGCTACTGGTCATGTGAGTGGTGTTGAAGTGGGGTTGCTGGGGGCTGTGTTGGTGGTGGGTTTTACTGGCAGTCGTGTTGGTGGTGCTACTGGTTATGTGAGTGGTGTTGAAGTGGGGTTGCTGGGGGCTGTGTTGGGTGTTACTGGTAGTCGTCTTGGTGGTGCTTCTGGTCACGAGTGGTCTTCCTGATGGTGGGTGTTACTGGTAGTCGTGTTGGTGGTGCTACTGGTCATGTGAGTGGTGTTGAAGTGGGGTTGCTGGGGGCTGTGTTGGTGGTGGGTGTTACTGGTAGTCGTGTTGGTGGTGCTACTGGTCATGTGAGTGGTGTTGAAGTGGGATTGCTGGGGGCTGTGTTGGGTGTTACTGGTAGTCGTCTTGGTGGTGCTTCTGGTCACGAGTGGTCTTCCTGGTGGTGGTCACGCTGGCGGTGCTGGCGGTTGTGCGAGCGCGGCGGGAGTGTCTCACTCAGCACTCCACTCTCTGTACACAGGGATTTCTCTCGCCGTGGACCAGTGGGCACGGCTCAAGGAGCTCATGCCCGACATCGACGCAGCCGTCAAGAAGATGTGAGGGCCGGTATTCTCCGCTCATCGTCTCCGTCGTCGAGGGCCTCCACCCAGACGCCTGCAAAGTTTTAATCCGAGCGGGGGCTCTTCTGTTTGTGACCAACGGGGGCATGGGGCTTTTTTTTTTACATGAATAAAGTTGGCGTTTAGCTGCGTGCACGCACATGTAGCTGCGTGCACGCATGTGTAGTTGTGTGTGTGTGCGCGTGTGTGTGCGCGTGTGTGTATAGTTGTGTGTGTGTGTGTGTAGTTGTGCGTGTGTGTAGTTGTGCGTGTGTGCATCATCTTTCTGGTCAAGGCAGATGCGCTCCACTCGTGAGTTCCCAAAGTCGTTATTTCCGTCGTGTTTTTCATGTTGCCGTTGTTTCCCGCCGTACCCCACCGCCACCCCCCCACCACGAGATTTTGTACCGGGAGGAGGAGAAGGGGCCCGGCGCTGCCGCCGCCACGCCTCGTCGTGCGCTGCAGCGCTCCCGCCCATCGCGAGTGCCACGTGGCTGCAGCGGTGACGGAATTTCAGTTTCAATAAAAAGGGCCGGGCACACACCTCGTCGTCGTGTCGTTTTATTCGCTGGTCACGGCAAAGTCGCCCACCCGCACCTACGATGAGCGCGGGGGTTGGCTACGTACGGCGCGAAAGGAGTTCACGTACGTACGCCCGGCGAACATCTGCACAGTTAAAAGGAAAAGTATATAATGGGTGATGGTCCTTCATAGCGCAAGATGGGTCATTGAAACGCCGCCCATTGTATCTCCTTTTACTCCAAGGTTCTCAACTTTCCATTCCATAACACACACAAGGTGTTGGCCAAACATCGCAATGCTGAAAAATCACCTTCAAATTACTACATTGGGGTCACTCACGTTGGCAGCCGCCCTTTAATGAAGAAACTTGGCCGGACCCTCCTGAGTGAGACTCATCAGGGCTTTCCTGGGTGACCAAGCGTAGGAATGGTGAACACTCCCACTGCGTGTGGAGCTGACGTCACCCATAGGGGTACCTCAGTGTTGCGATGTTAACTCCCTCACCTAATATACAGGTTGTGGGATCGATCCCAGCCCTGACGCCTGCTGTATATTTAGAATTTGCATGTTCTCTCCGTGATCGCGTGGATTTCGATGTACAATTAGAAACATGCATTTAGAGTATTTGGCTGCTATACATTTCCACTTCGTTGAGCTATCGTTTGTGGCCAGGTTGCTTCTGAAAAAGAGCTATACAGTAAACCCCCTCTATTCGCAATCAGTGTGTTCTTGAAAACGCTCGCGAATGCAGAAACCTTGTTCCAATGGGAAAAATGGGTTTGGGTTCCTCGTACGAGTGAACATCGGGGGGGAAATTGTGAATAACAATGTTTCCATCACCTTTGATGATTTGTCGACAAAGGAGGTGGTGGATATGGTGAGGAATGCAGGAGGGAGAAGCAGGTGTTTGATAACGCCACACAGCTGTTATCATTCTAGCACTCTGGGCAGTGCTGTTTTGCAACACTTTCACCGACTGCCTTCGCGTTCCTTTTAATGGACCTCGCAGTCGACTCGTTTCTTCCAAAATGTATCGGCGAGTCCACTAAGCATGTAGAAAGTAAAAATGCACAACAGCGAGTTCAGAGCGGGTTTCCTGCCAGACTGAGAACAAAGCGGGCAGCCGAGGGGGCGCGCCCAATCTTCGTAGCAGACAGTTTCAATGTTACAACGTTCTGCACGCAACCTCCCCCGTGTCGGTGGTCTGGCACTACGTTCACTCGCGAATACTCGAGCCCGGTGTCGTGAATAGGGAATGAGTACACATTTGAACGTATTGGCGGTACACCGGTGCGCGCTATAGAAAAATAAAAGGAACATTTTTGCAATAATTTACTTTATTTTCCTGCAATTCACAACCCCGGTCAGAAAATCTTGCGAGGTGGTGCATCAAAATCAGTTCTCGTGATGTCGAAGCAGTCAGAAGATTAATGTTATGGGTAGCTGAACACGAAACTTCACAGTGATGATGGTTGGCTCTGTGTTTTGACTCGTGTCCAAGACAGATTTGACCTGTGCTCAAGACTTGGTCGGACGGTTAGGGTTATATTGGAAAACCTTGTCCTTAAATAGCATTTGCTTGTTCACAAAATATTAATATTGTTGCCATGACAACAACCCTAACCTAACCCTAATGATCCCAACGTTCTGCTTGTTGTCCTATCCATCCGCAGTTCCAGACGACGAAGATGATGATGATGCACCAGTTCCAGACGACGAAGATGATGCACCAGGTCCCACCTCAGGCTCGTGACCCAAAGCAAGAAAGCTGCTGCTGTTGTTGCTGCTGCTGCTGCAGGCGCTCGCCCTCCCGGTTCGCCCGAAAAATTGCGTACCCTGGACCCAAATCAACGGTCAACATTTACCTTTTCAGCGAGTCTCAGTCGACTGCATAAACATTTGAATCACGCTAAACTTGGCGACGGGGTCTTAAAAGACTGAAACAGATTTGCTGGTTCAAATTTAGATTTCAGGCTTTTACGAGGACCAGTGTGTTATGTTGCACCAGTATACCACCAATACGTCCATAGTAGTAACTTGCGAATATGCGCAACTTGCAAATCCAGAACTCGCGCATGGCGATGGTTTAGTAGGTCTTACCTAGTCAAATAAAAAGTTACGTTGTAAGCTCGGATTGCCCGTCATCACGCCATGAATCATCACGACGCCCTTCGTGTCAAGCCACCCATCATCACGCCGGCCAATCACGACTCGGCGCCTGCGGTCACGGCGTCCATCATGCCAGCACGTGCCGAGCGTAGAGCGCCTCGTAGCGCGCGACCTGCTGCGCCGTGAGCGAGGGCGGGATGAGCCGCAGGGCACGCAGGAAGTGCTCCTGCCGCACGCGCTCCACGTCCACACCCTCGTCCGCCATGGCCAGCAGCGCCGCCTGCACGGCGGGGGGGGGGGGGTGCAGGAAGAGAGACAGATTTCAGCGACCGCCAGATCGGACCGGACCCGTCGTGCCGACGGTCTCCGTGGCCCTCCCCTCTCGTGATTGGCGCGTCTCCTTGCTGCGTTTCAAGAGTCCGTTCCATTGTTTAACGTTGCGGCGTTAGCTAGCACCTCTAGTGGCTGCAGGGGTCACGCGATTTCCGTTACGCGCGGCACACGAATCGCCAGCCCGTTCTGGCGCAGTGGTTAACGCAACGGCCAAGTTCCGCTCCCAGACACGGCTGACATCGGTGGCAAGCCGTGTCCGGACCTGTCCTAGGCCTCTCCGAGGTCAACTCGGCCTTCAATGAGTACCTGCTGAAGTGCGTATAAAAAAATATCAGCAGTGAAAAGACAAAGGTGGCCAGGCGTGGTGGTTGCCACACCACCAGCCTGTGCACTTACTGGGCACCCATTTGCGTGTGTGGGTGTGAACGTGCGTGTGTGCGTGTGAACGTGCGTGTGTGCGTGTGAACGTGCGTGTGAACGTGCGTGTGTGTGAACGTGTGCGTGTGAACGTGCGTGTGAACGTGCGTGTGTGGGTGTGAACGTGCGTGAGAACGTGCGTGTGTGCGTGTGAACGTGCGTGTGAACGTGTGTGTGTGCGTGTGAACGTGCGTGTGAACGTGTGAACGTGCGTGTATGCGTGTGAACGTGCGTGTGTGGGTGTGAACGTGCATGTGAACGTGCGTGTGTGTGTGAACGTGCGTGTGAACGTGCGTGTGAACGTGCGTGTGAACGTGCGTGTGTGCGTGTGAACGTGCGTGTGTGTGTGTGAACGTGCGTGTGTGCGTGTGAACGTGCGTGTGTGTGTGTGAACGTGCGTGTGTGCGTGTGAACGTGCGTGTGTGGGTGTGAACGTGCGTGAGAACGTGCGTGTGTGCGTGTGAACGTGCGTGTGAACGTGCGTGTGTGCGTGTGAACGTGTGAACGTGCGTGTATGCGTGTGAACGTGCGTGTGTGGGTGTGAACGTGCGTGTGTGGGTGTGAACGTGTGTGTGAACGTGCGTGTGAACGTGCGTGTGTGCGTGTGAACGTGTGTGTGTGTGTGAACGTGCGTGTGAACGTGCGTGTGTGTGTGTGAACGTGCGTGTGAACGTACGTGTGTGAACGTGCGTGTGAACGTACGTGTGTGAACGTGCGTGTGTGGGTGTGAACGTGCGTGTGTGGGTGTGAACGTGCATGTGAACGTGCGTGTGAACGTGCGTGTGAACGTGCGTGTGTGCGTGTGAACGTGCATGTGTGCGTGTGAACGTGCGTGTGAACGTGCGTGTGTGTGTGTGAACGTGCGTGTGAACGTGCGTGTGAACGTGCGTGTGTGTGTGTGAACGTGCGTGTGAACGTGCGTGTGTGGGTGTGAACGTGCGTGTGTGGGTGTGAACGTGCGTGTGAACGTGCGTGTGTGCGTGTGAACGTGCGTGTGTGCGTGTGAATGTGCGTGTGAACGTGCGTGTGTGCGTGTGAACGTGCGCGCGTTACCTCGCTGCACACCCCCTTGAGGTCGGCGCCCGTGTACATGTGGGTCGCGTCGGCGAGCTCCGTCAGGGAGACGTCCTCCGCCAAGGGGACCAGCGCCAGTTGCAGCTGCAGGATGGCGAGACGCGTCTGTGGGCAGGGGGCGGAGGGAGGAGCTCATCGTGAGGCCGCCCGGAATGGATGTACGCTTAGAACGAGGTGTTGTTCAAGATTCCATAACATCTTTGCTCTAAGCCCCGTACGCAACGTGTCATTCCAATTGCACGGATTGAATTTTTATTGTAGAATCACAATTTACATTCGGGGGACCTCTGTTTGAAAAAACTCCTCTAAAAGAAATAAAGTTTCCATTCATCGACGAAACTCGCGCCACGATTGTCTGAATGGGGTCCCGGGGTCGCTGGGGCAACAGGTTCAACATGGCTGAATCTCTCGCGCAAACCGAGGTACGGAAATGTCGATCAGAGAGCTAGCTTAATCTGTCTCTACACGCATCTCACACTCGTTCCCCGTTCACATTATCAACATCTCTATTCTTGCCTTCAGCGACTTCTCAACAATGCCAACGTAATTGTTTATTTATTCATCAGCCAAAAAGGGGCCTTCCAATGAACGCCCAAATCTCCTGGCTGGCCTCCCTGGGCCGGGCCAACCAGGCGAGGGGGCCTGGCCTTGCAGTCTCTAGGCTGGCGCGTGTTTGGACTGGGGCCGTGGCCGTCCGTGTGACGCGGCCGCTCGTGGCCGGGCCGCTCGTGGCCGGGCCGCTCGTGGCCGGGCCGCTCGTGGCCGGGCCGCTCGTGGCCGGGCCGCTCGTGGCCGGGCCGCTCGTGGCCGGGCCGCTCGTGGCCGGGCCGCGCGGCACTGGAAGCTAGCAGGCGGGCACCGCTTCACCTTCGCGTCGGGCGGCGGAACAAAGATGACGCTGTCCAGCCGGCCCGGACGCACCAGCGCCTCGTCCAGCACCTCGGGCCGATTGGTCGCCGCGACGACCAGCACGTGCTCGTTCGACAGCTGGGGAGTGTAATGTGTGTATGTTGAACTTCATTCACACCGTACATAGCCAACCGTGCTAATAGGAGGCATGGGGGAAGGACAACAAACTAAACACAAAAAGCAGTTCTCAAGACGTAAGTTTTCAAGCTGTATTTAAAAGTGCTTGGCTCAAGCGGCTTCCGAATATTTGAAGAAAGTTCTTTCAGATGTGCTTCAGACGGCCACAGAAGCGCATCTGAAAGCACGCGATGCACTGACCGTCTCTATTCGATGGTAAGCCAAAATCCACTGCGAGGATGACCGGAGTTCACGTGATGATGGTTTATGTTCCTTGATAAGATCAGCAGCAATGTATTGTGGTTCATTTGTGACAAGCACCGTGTGTAATGAGTGCGACCTCATTAACGCATTCGTTCAGCAACCGGAAGTCAATGCCGCTGGGCGAGCACCGGACAGACACGGTCGGATCTTGCAGTGCCCCTCAAGGCACGTGCCAAAGACTTTTATACACGCTGCAGCTTTCTAATGTTATTTGCCAGACGTCCTGTAGTGAGTTGCAATAATGGAGCCTTGTCGATACTGTGCCACCGTGTTGGCTTTGTCACGACTCAATAGTAACCCAATGTGTTGTTGAGCCCTGAGATGAAAATTGTAAGGCCTGACTCGAATCGCAGGACCTGGCTATATTAACCGGAGCAGCCATTGTGCTCCAACGGCAAACCTACGGGACGAGCAGCGAGCGTGCGACCGCTCGGCCGCGTCGGTGATGCTCCAGCGCCGCGAGCCGCTCGGCCAAGGGACCGCAGCCGGCGACGACGCCACCTCGCGCTCGCTCGCTCACCTCCTCCTCCTCGCCGTCCACTCCCCCGCCCCCCCTCCTTTCGCCGGCGTCGACCCCGACGCCGTCCATCTCGCAGAGTAGCGTGGCGAGGGCGCGCTGCGCCACCCCGGCGGCGCGACCCCGCGACCCCAACAGCGCATCCACCTCGTCCAGGAAGAGCAGGCACGGGGCGGCAGCCCGCGCACGACGGAACACCTGGGGTGGAGCATGGCGGCGAGGGTCGGGGGTTGGTGGTGAGTGTGGCGGGAAAGGTGAGAGCGGCGATGATCAAAATGGCGATCACGGTGTTGAGAGCGATGGTGAAAGCGACGGTGAGAGCAATGGTGAGAGCAATGGTGAGCGTGGCAGTGAGGGCGGCGGTGAGAACGATGGTGAAAGCGATGGTGAGAGCAATGGTGAGTGTGGCAGTGAGGGCGGTGGCGAGAGCGATGGTGAGAGCAATGGTGTGGCAGTGAGAGCGGTGGTGAGAGCAATGGTGAGAGCAATGGTGAGTGTGGCAGTGAGGGCGGCGGTGAGAACGATGGTGAAAGCGATGGTGAGAGCAATGGTGAGTGTGGCAGTGAGGGCGGTGGCGAGAGCGATGGTGAGAGCAATGGTGTGGCAGTGAGAGCGGTGGTGAGAGCAATGGTGAGAGCAATGGTGAGAGCAATGGTGAGTGTGGCAGTGAGAGCGGTGGTGAGAGCAATGGTGAGAGCAATGGTGTGGCAGTGAGAGCGGTGGTGAGAGCAATGGTGAGAGCAATGGTGAGTGTGGCAGTGAGAGCGGTGGTGAGGGCAATGGTGAGAGCAATGGTGAGCGTGGCAGTGAGGGCGGTGGCGAGAGCGATGGTGAGAGCGTTGGCGAGCCACGGTGGTGCGCGCGGTGGCGTGCCCGCACTGGGAGTCGAACCTGCGCGAGGTTTCTCTCGGTGTCGCCCACGTATGGCGACATCACCTGGGCGCCTGACACGCTGAGAAAGGAGACGCTGGCGCGCGCCGCCACCGCCCGCACCAACGAGGTCTTTGCGCAGCCAGGCGGCCCGTAGAGAAGTGCGCCTCGCGGCAGGCGGGCGCCCAGACGCAGCAGCGCCGCAGGGTGCAGCAAGGGCCACTCCACGCACTGTGGAGGAGCAGCAGCGGCGGCATCAGCAGCAGCAGCGCAAGACGCCATCATCATCAGCATCACACAGCCAACGTCGGCGCAGAATTTCGCGATGTACAAAACATCGATGCGCGTCCAACACCCGTCGCACGACCTGTCCAACGTCGCCGCCGCCAACGCATCACGTGGCGTTGCCACACGACGTCACCCACCAATGTGCAATACAGAGGTCACGTGGCAATCACGGTGCCACACGACGTCGCGCTACTGTGACATTTGCACGTCGCGTGGCCACATCCTCACGCGAAATCACAGATCACAAACGTCGCGAGTGTCTTGAGACTTTTAAAATCGAGGAGTCGCGACGCGCGCCCAGCTCCGGTGCCGCCAACCACGCCGAGCTTGTCATGAGATCGAGCGGGCGACCATGTCGTCGTGTTTACGTCGCTGGAACGACAAGTCTAGCAAATGTCTGGGGCGTATACGCGATGCAAAATCAGGAGCGATTCCTGGTCTGTGCTAAGCACCCTGCATTAGTTCCGCTACTCGAAACACTCGGTAAGCTGCCTCGCGACATTTTTGTTGGCTTTAGACGGACAAATCGTTTTTTCACGGCTGAGCTGCTGCTGCTGTGCAGCTCTCTGCTGTGTATTCTGGTCATACTGCATTCTGTTCGACATGACGGCCGACGTTTCGCTCCAGATGCTGGGAGCTTCTTCACGAAAGAAGGTCCCGGCATGCGGAGCGAACCAAATGCATACTGGAGAGATTTTTAGCTCCATCCCGCGACGTTCAGCACCTTGGTGAGGCTCGTTTTGGCGACCCCCCCGCTCTAAGGGGTGAGGAGTGAGTCACCCTTCCTGGCATACCCCCCACGCGGGAGACCGTGACTCTGGAGGAGGGGAGACACCACCTGCAGCAGGCGGCGCTTGACGTCATCCAGCCCCACGATGCGCTCCCAGCCTCCGGCCCCACCGCTCTCCACGGCCGGCACGGCGGCGTCGCACCGCGTGGCGGTCGGCCGCACCAAGGGCAGCGCGCTGCGAAAGTCGCTCATCTCCACGCGCACGGCCGGCAGCGCCCGCCGGGTCAGCTCGTCGCTCCGCTGCGGATCCTCCCCCTCCGCTCCATCCGCCTCCTCCCGTCCCTCTCTCCGCTCGTCCGCCAGCTCCACCGGGTTCGCCGCCGCCGCCGCCGCCGCCGCGCGCTCTCCGCCCGCAGCTCGCCCGTTCGGCCCCCCGTCGCGCCCGGGCACCCCCGGCGGCTTCGCCCGCGGGAGCCGTCTCAGCGCGCCGACGGCCGCGTGGCGGCACAGCTCGGCGAGGTCGGCGCCCGCGTGCGCCGGCGTGAGGGCCGCGAGCTCCTGGAGGCCCACGCCCGGCGCCAGCGGCATGCCCCGCGTGAGCACCGCGAGGATGGCGATGCGCTGCCGCTCCGTGGGCACGCCAAGCACCAGCTGACACGCGCATCACCGCCACCACCATCATCAGCATCATCACCGTCATTAACGTCGTCACAATTGATAGGCCCATCACCAACAGTTACGTCACAACATCACAATCAATAACAATGCAGAAATCCCCATCACCACCATCATCATGATCACCACCACCACCATCGGCACCATCGCTACCATCATAACCGTCACCACCATCGTGATCACCATCACATCCACCACCATCACCACTACTACCATCGCTGCCACGTTCGTTCATTCATCCACACAAGGGAGCACCTCGCGGTCAAATCGCCCGGGCCTCCTCAGTGCCGGGTCCAGGGCCTCTGGCCGGTTGGTGGCGGCCACCACGAGCACGGTCCCGGTCCCGGGGCCCCCTCGCTCGCCGCGGGCCCCGTCCATCAGGGTCAGCAGCTGCGCCACCACGCGCGTGTCCACCGCGCCTCCCTCCCCGCGCCGTGGGCACAGGGACTCCACCTCGTCAATGAAGAGAATGCACGGCGTCCCGGCACCTCCATCATCATCATCATCCTCATCACCACCACCACCACCGTCCTGGGCGGGAGGCGTCGCCAGCGCCAGGGCTCGCGCGAAGGCGGCGCGCAGCGCGGCCTCGGTGTCTCCGGGCCGCGGTCCCACGACGTCCGAGGCGTTGATCGCCACCATTTCGGCCCCGACCTCGTCCGCCACGGCGCGCACCAGCCGCGTCTTGCCCACGCCGGGCGGCCCCGCCAGCAGGAGTCCTCCCGGGGGGCCCCACAGGCACAGACGCCGCAGCGCGCGCGGGAACCTCGCGGGCAGCAGCAGCAACTCCCGCAGCCTCTCCGCCTCGGCGTCCAGGCCGCCCAGGGGGAAGCCGACGAGGCGGCTCCGCTGCCTCCTCTGCTTGGCCCGCAGCGCCGAGAGGAAGCGGCGCACGGGAGAGACGCGCGTCACGAAAATCTCGGTGCGACCATGCACGAGCATGGCCACGGAGCACGCGGTCTCCGGCTCCTCTCTTTTCACCGTCGTCTCATCCCCGGGGGGTCCCTCCTCCTCCTCCCCCTCCCCATCAGCCGGCCTGCTCTCCTCGCCCCCCTTGCCGCCCCGCTGGGCCTCGGCTTGGGCTCGCCGCACGAGCACGTAGAGCAGGGGGTGGCCGTGGCCCGCGACGCGCAGCGCGCAGCCCGGGAACACGAGCGCTCCCCGCAGCAGCTCCCGCGCCACATCGCGCAGCTCGGCCGCCCTGGGCAACGCGGAGGTGGCGGCGGCGGCGGCCGCGGGCTCGCCGCCGCCGCCGACACCCCCGGGCTCGGGAGCAGCGCACACGGCCGTGACGAAGAGGCGCTTGGCGCGGACTCGCGGGAGCGCGCGGATCCGGTGAAGGGGAATCCGCGCGGGTAGCGCTGGGTCGCGTCCTCCCACCCCCCCGGCCTCTCCGCCGCCGTTGTCGTCATCGGGGTCTGCCTCGAGCAACGCGGCGAGGCTCCCGCAGCGCGCGTCCACCTCAACGTGGCCCTCTGCTAGGTCGGGCCGCGGCCACGCGGCGCACAGCAGCAGCCGCTCCTCCCCGACCGCGTCTCGGCCCAGCGAGAGGCGCAGGGGCGCGCCCAGCAGGCGGACCCCGAGCGCTCGCAGCGCCCCGGGGCCCAGGCGGCAGCGCTGACTGCTCGAGTCGCTGAGCTCCGCGGGGTGGAGGCACAGAGACGAGGGCCCCGTGAATGAGAGGCCCGCGGCTCCACGCGCCCCAAGCGGGGACTCCATGGCTCGGCCGCTTCCTCCAGGAGCCCGGGGCGCGCGAGTCTCAACTCACGATGCAGTGTTGCTGTTGTTGTGTCTACTGCTGCTGTTGTTGTGTCTACTGCTGCTGTTGTTGTCTACTGCTGCTGTTGTTGTTGTTGTGTCTACTGCTGCTGTTGTTGTTGTGTCTACTGCTGCTGCTGCCGTTACTACTGCTGCTGTTGTTGTCTACTGCTGCTGCTGCCGTTACTACTGCTGCTGTTGTGTCTGTCTACTGCTGCTGTTGTTGTCTACTGCTGCTGCTGCCGTTACTACTGCTGCTGTTGTGTCTGTCTACTGCTGCTGTTGTGTCTACTGCTGCTGTTACTACTGCTGCTGTTGTGCCTACTGCTGCTGCTGTTACTACTTCTGTTGTGTCTACTGCTGTTGTTGTGTCTACTGCTGCTGTTGTCGCTGCTGTCACATTCCCAGCAGACCATTACACCAAACACGTGGAAAACACGTGTTAAAACACATCAATAGTAAAGTCACCTTGAGGGCACTTGCCTGGTACATCCATAAATCAGTGCTAACCTATTCCTGCCCCCGGGGCGGTTGTTCTTTACAATGCCCTCGCAACGTCATAACAGCGCGAGCGCTTCGGGGTCCTGGGCTCGCGCGGTCGCGTCACCATGACGACGCGAGGCTGACGCCCGGCGCACTGCCTGATTTTATTTTTGTTTTCATTTCGTTATTTCCTCTTCCTTTTAACGCATTTTTTAAAAAATGGGTGGGGGGGGGGGGTTGGATAAACGCCGTATAGAAAATTCCGTGCAGAGCGGGCAAGACTCACGCCCTGCCAAACGTTTCGTGTAATCGGACACCTACACAGAGAGGGCGAAAAATTCCATATCAAATGCATGCGACGTTTCAAAAACGAACTATTGAACCTCGATTAAATGAGGTAAATTTTGCGCCGAATAATCGCCGCGATTTTCAGCGGATTCTCAACGCCGTTTTTTTAAAAAAATAATTCGCGGCAAACGCGCGCCCTTTGTCGGTGCGTCGTGACGTCAAGACGCACGCGGTTGCGTCACGCCAGCGTCGTGACGTCACCGCGCGGCCCCTCGTCTCGGGGCGCGTGGGCGGAAGGGGCGTGGTCCTCATTTGCTACGTCACGAGGGGGGGCGTGGCTGCTGAGATTGGAGGGGAGAGCGAAAGGAGAGAGCGAAGGGAGAGAGCGAAGCACGGCGAAGAGAGAGCGAAGGGAGAGCGAAGGGAGAGGCGCTCCACGGGAGAGACGTTAATGAGGGGGAGCGAGAGAGAGGGAGGCGCACAGATAGATGCTGAAGGGAGAGACAGAAAGAGAGCGGGGAGAGAGACAAACACAAGGGAGAGCGCGGCAGCGAGAATATTATGATCTAGGGAGAGAGGGAGAGGCGAGGGGAGAGCGAGGGAGGGCGCCCATTCAAACACAATACGTCAGGGGAAGGCCGGGAGGGCAGCAGTGAGAGTGGGAGACACAGGGGGAGAGCGAGAGGGGAGAGAGCGAGAATAACACAGACAAGGAGGAGCAGGGGGAGCGCCTGAGAGCGACAGGGAGAGTGACAAACGCACACAAGGGAGAGGGGAGAGGGGAGAGGGAGGGAGGGCGGCGGGGGCAGAGACACACGCGGGGGAGCGCAAGGGAGAGGGAGGGAGAGAGAGAGGGAGAAGGAGATACCGGGGAGAGCGGCAGAGAGCGTGCGAGGGAGACACAGGGAGAGCGAGCGAGGGAGACACAGGGAGAGCGAGCGAGGGAGAGCGGGAGACAGGGAGAGCGAGCGAGGGAGAGAAGAATCGAGAGAGGGAGACACAGGGGGGAGAGCGAGAGAGAGAGAGAGAAGGAAGGGAGAGCGGCGGTGGAGAGTGGGGGAGTCGGGCTGCCGGTGGCGAGGCCGCCTCTTCCTTCAGTCACGGAGCGCAGCGCCGACATGTCCACTCTCACGAACGGCGCGCAGCTGCATCACCAGCCGCTCGACGCCGAGCGGGACGGAGGAGGAGGTGGAGGAGGAGGTGGACCCAGGGACGCGCACCCGGGCGCCATGAAACTGTTCGTGGGGCAGATCCCGCGCCACCTGCACGAGCGCGACCTCGCTCCGCTCTTCGAGGAGTTCGGCCGCATCCGCGAGCTGACGGTTCTCAAGGACCGCGTCACGGGCACGCACAAAGGTGGGGACGGGGGGGGGGGGCAGGGCAGGGGGCCTCGGCATCACCACCATCAGCACCACCATCACCGGCGGGACCACCATCGTCAACATCATCACCGTCGTCGTCATCATCATCAACGGTAGCAGCAGCAGCATTAGGAGTAGCGGTAGCATCAGCGGCAACACCACCACCAGCGTGGATAGCACCATCAGTCTCATCATCACCAGCAGCACCACCATCAACAGCACCATCACCAGCAGCACCATCGTCACCAGCAGTAGCGGCGGCGGCATCAGCACCACCACCAGCGTGGACAGCACAATCAGCCTCATCATCATCAGCATCATTATGATGGGCAGTAGCACCATCGTCATCCCTGGCAGCAACAGCGATAGCAGCAGCAGGCGGCGGCATCAGCACCACCAGTAGCGTGGACAGCACCAGCAGCATCAGCACCATCATCACCACCATCATCAGCACCATCATCAGAATGGACAGCGTCATAGGTGGCATCAGCAGCATCATTGTCATGAGAAATATTCTCTCATCTTCACCATCATCGTCATCATTCGTTTCATCATACCTCGCTCATTCTCTTTATCTCTCGCCATCCACAATCCTCCCATCATCACCACAATGATGATTTGTCGCTATCCCCCATTATCCCTCATCACGGGCATCATCATCAGCATCAGATTCGTCAACCTAGTTATCATCAGCAGCATCGCGGAGGTCGTTTAGCATGGGCATCGCCGATAGAATAGACAATATAAGCCAGCAGCATGGATATCATCAGCATCAATATCATCAGAGTAATCATTAGGCAGGTCACTATCGTGGACATCAACACCATAATTAATATCACAAACAGCAGCATCATCATGGACATAATGAGTGTAATCATCGTAATCTTGGACATCATCATAATTCATTATGGGCATCATCGCCATCATCACAGGGATTATCAGGATGATAATGCCATTATCAATGCCACCACCATCATCATAAATCATTACGGTCACCATCAGCACGGGCATCATCAGCTGCACAGGCGACTCCCGCCACATCCGCCACCATAGCCAGAGTCCTCCATTGTCAGGAGCGTGGACTGGGCGACAGGGCTAATAAACACACACACATACACACACATCCACACACACACATCCACACACGATCCACACACGATCCACACACACACACATCTACACACATCCACACAGACATACATGCACACACACACATCCACACACACGACAAGAACAACAACATCCACACGCATTCACACAGACATACAAAGACACATCCACACACACATACAGACAAAGAGACATCCACACACAAAGACACACACACATGTCCACTAGCGGGAGCAGCAGCCTGATCATATTCACAGTTGAACTCGCATTGTGTCGTTGTAAATACACGGGTAGAGAGAGGGGAGAGAGAGATTTTGAAAAACAGAACTCGTTAAATAAAAATTAAATCGCCACCGCAATCTGTTGATGTCCCCTGTTGGTGACTGGCTGGGAGAGAGAGCGGCACAGTGAGAGAGAGATGGGGGGAGCCATGGTGGCCATTGCCACACCATCACCCTCGCAATCCCTAGCCATCGTCATCACCATCATCGCCATCATCATCGCCTCGCTATTCCACACTCTCACCTCGCCGTTATGATTACGATTCTTCCTCACACCGTCTGAACATCGCAATGCTCACTCATCATCTCTGCTTCATCGTCGTCGTCGTCATCAACATCCCTCGCCTTCTGCCATCGTCTCTCATCATCCTGGCCAATCCGAAATCATTCCTCATCATTGTCATCATGAAGATCATTGCGATCATCATCCCAAACCATCATCATCCCGAACGACCTCTCTTCAGCGTTATTCGTCCTGTCCCCTCATGATTCCTCGTCATCGCTAATCCTCCTCCTCCATCGTCTTCATGAATTTCCATCCATTCCTCATCTTTCCACACCATTGCCATCATCATCATCATTCCCGCCAGCCCCCATTATCGCTAATCATCCATCATCAGTCCCCTATCAACCCTCAGCCATTGTCAATCATACCTCACCCCCACCCACCACCCCATCTCACACCCACCCACCACCCCATCTCACACCCACCCACCACCCCATCTCACACCCACCCACCACCCCATCTCACACCCACCCACCTACTCACCCCACCTCACCCTACCTCACCCTACCTCACCCCACCCACCAACTCACCCCACCTCACTCCACCCACCTCACTCCACCCACTCACTCCATCCACCCACCCACCCAACCACTCACCCCACCTCACCCCTTCCCCATCCACCTCACCAACTCAGTCACTCACCACGACCTCACCCTCCATGCCCGGCCGAGGAGGAGGCGGCGGTGGCGATGGAGAGGCTCGCAGAGTCAAACTGGCGCACAGCGCGGGGCCCAAAGAGCCCTGGGAGGGCCGGGGAAGCCGCGCGGTGCTCCACAGGTGGCTCGAGTGGTGGAAGGGGGGGGGGGGGCGAGGTTCCTTCACCTGCGCTGCCCCATTACCTCTGACAGGTGTTTGCGCGGGGCCCGGTGGCGGTGGTTGTGGCCGCGTTGCCACAGACACGACGCCGTGGTCACATCTCCCCACAATTGCGAGCCCCTGCGCACCTCTCCCGAGTTCGGGTTCGAGCCGGGGTAGCAGCCGGGGCGGCGCGCGTGCCGCGTGCGCCCCGAAGCGGCGGGGCGGTAATGGTCGCGGGGGTTTTGGGGGGGATTTAAACACCGGGCAGCCGCTCGCACAATCGATCGATACGACGACGGCGAGGTGTCAATTAATAATAATTACACTGCCCCCCCCCCTACCTCCTCCTCCTCTTCACCCCTGCAGCCCCCGTAGCTCCGGTCACGTCAATTACTATCGGGGGGTGAGGACAGAAAGCGGCCTCCACGAGCCGAGATCACGAGCAGGGCGCTACTCCTCCGATCATTAGCGTGGTGCCGATGAATATGAATATTAATGATAATAGCATGATGACAATGCTGCTGATGATGATGGTAATATTAATGAGATGTTAATGATGGTGGCATTAGGGGAGGGAGTGGGGGGGCACCCGGGGCGCGATCATCCGTGACCCCAGAGTAGCGACGCTCAGGCTTTGTCTGTGCTGCCTTTTCTCTCTCTCCTGCTTGTCTCTCACATCTTATTTCCACCGTCTCTCTCCCTCTCTCTCCCTTCTATCTCTCTATCTCCACCTCTCCCCTTGCCCATCTCTCTACCCTCTCGCTCTTCTCTCTCCCTCGTATCCCCCCCCCCCCCTCTTCTCATTTCTCGCGTCTTTCGCTATCCGCTCTCTCCCCTCTCACTCCCTTGCCTATCTCTCCCTTCTCGTCAATATTCCTCCTCTACCTCCACCTTCTCTCTCCCTCACTCCGCTGTCTCGAGTCTCTCTCTCTCGTCCCCCCCCCCCATCTCTCCCTTGTCTCTCCGCTGCCTCCACGTGCCTCTCTTGGCTCCCTCTGCTCTCCCTTCGGCTGCTCTTGTCTCCATTGTCTCTCGCCTCGCTTTCCCTCTCCCTTGCCTCTCCGCTTGCTCCGCTATCGCCCTTGCTTACCCGCTCTCCCTCCTCTCTTATTATCTAACCTCCTCCTGCCCCCTGCTCCCTTCTTGGTTCTTCCTTATCGTCCGCGGTCTCCCCCGTCTCTCTCCCTTGTCTCTCCTCGTCTTTTCCTGCCAAGTCTCTCCTACCCCTTGTCTCTACTCGATTCCTTGTTTCTCCCCCCCCCCCCCCTAATCCCCCACCTCCCTACGCCTCGCCTCCCCGTGTCTCCTCTTCATTCTCCCAGTCTCTCCTAGCTCCCCATCGTTTACCATCATTTCCTGAATGTCTCTCCCCATCTCCCTTTCTCGTCCCCCTTCTGTCCCCCTTGTCCCCCCCCCCGCCTCTATCCCCCCCCCCCCCCACCCCCGAAGCCACCTGCACCACCGAGCTCACGTCCACCTCCTCATCATCATCCTCCTCCTCACTGCCCCTTCATCCCACAGTCTCCTACTCCTCCCCGCTCCACAGGAAAGGCTCGCTGAGTCGTTTGAGTGGTTCAGAGGAGAGTCCTGCCACACTGGCGCGTTTGTCCAATTCCGTGCACGGCTGTTTGCCTTCGTCACTGGGAGGAAACCGGAGATCCCGGGAGGGGAAAAAACCAAGCCGCTCAAAGCCCCACCGCACAGATTTATTCAATCCGTCGCTGTACATCCATCTCATGGCCACATCACGGCCATAGCTGACCACGCACACACAAAGACAACGATTCCCCCGTGGAGCCTTTTACAGGCTGTTGGGGCAAGTGCTGTCAGCGAGCACCTATTAAGGTCGGAACGGCACACGAGAAATTGGGTGGTGTGGTCGACATCACGCCCGGCCACCTTTGTCTCCCAAGTGCTGATGTTTTACACACCGCACCACAATGCACTCGTTTAGGGCTGAGTAAACCTAGAGGAGGCCCGAAACCGGGTTCAGATATTCGCTGGCATTGTTATTGGTCGTGAGCAGGAATCGAATTGGGGTCGCCAGGTCCATAGCACAGTGCGCTAACCATTGCGCCACCACTCCATAAACAGAGGCAATTTACAAATCTGGCCCAGACCGTTGTCTCCCTGCCCCGCCTCCTCGGACCAAGTCGCCGCGGGGCAATCCCTGGCTCGCCCTCTCCGTGGGAGAAGGGGGTGGGGAGAATGGGGTTGGGTGGGGGGGTGGATGAATGAAAGGGAGGGAGTGGATGAGGAAGTTGGGTGAGGGGGAAGGTGAGTTGGGGGTAGGGGGGGTGAGGGGGAGTACGGGGGAGGGGGGGAGTAGGGGGTGTAGGGGGTGGATGAGCGAGTGAGGAGGAGTAGGGAGTTGGATGGGTGAGGGTGAGTGGGGGGGGAATGAGTGAGCAAGGGGGTGAGTAGGGGGTGGATGAGCGAGGAGGATGGTGAGCGAGGGGGAGGGTGAGCGACGGGGAGCGAGAGGGAGGGTGAGTAGGGGGTGGATGAGCGAGGGGGAGTAAGGGGGTGGATGAGCGAGGGGGAGGGTGAGCGAGGGGGAGGGTGAGTAGGGGGTGGATGAGCGAGGGGGAGTGAGGGGGTGGATGAGCGAGGGGGAGGGTGAGCGAGGGTGAGCGAGGGGGAGGGTGAGCGAGGGGGAGGACGAGTAGGGGGTGGATGAGCGAGAGGGAGTGAGGGGGTGGATGAGCCAGGGGGTGGATGTGTGAGTGAGGGAGGGTGCCTCACGTGCTGTGTGTGGGGGGCTGTGTGCGTGGGGGCTGCGTGCTGTCCGCAGGCTGCGCCTTCCTCACGTACTGTGCGCGCGAATCGGCGCTCAAGGCTCAGAGCGCCCTGCATGAGCAGAAGACCCTGCCGGGGGTGAGACGAGCACCCCGCACCCTGCACCACGCACCCCCACATAGAGACCCTCACAAGAGACCCCCACACAGAGACTCCCACACAGAGACCCCCACACAGAGACCTCCACACAGGGCCCCCCACACAGGGCCCCCCACACAGGGCCCCCCACACAGAGACCCCCACACAGAGACCCCCACACAGAGACCCCCACACAGAGACCCCCACACAGGGCCCCCCACACAGGGGTCCTACAGAACAGTGCCAATCTGCGTTCTCTATCAAATGGTCCCTAACCCGGGGTCTCTATGGAGGGGTCCCCAATGAGGGGTACTTAAAAGGGGTCTCCATTTGGGGGTATTTAACCGGGAGGTTCCATACCGAAGGATCCATTCACAGGGGTCCCTACTAGGCCCCAATACTCGGGGCTCTCTCCCAGGCCTCGCTACCAGGACACCCTCCCTAGCGGCACCCCGAAGCGGGGGGTCGCTCCCTAGGGATCTCTACTCGTCTCCTGTGAGGGGGTCACTACTCAGACGTCCCTGTTAGGAGGGTGTCTATCCCCCCCTCCCCCCGCCTACCGGGCCTACGACACAGGGGTCCCTACCCAACACCCCCTACCCGGGACCCCTATGCGAGGGTCTTCACCCTGACCACTTACGCCAGACCCGCTTCCTGGAACCTTCTCTGCAGGTAACTCTGGACCCTTCCCGACCCTTCCCGATCCTTCCCGATCCTTCCCGATCCTTCCAGACCCATCCCGACTTTTCCCGACCCCCCCCCCCCCCAACGGTGGCTTCTGCACACGGGGATTTTAGACTTGGGGCTCCCTAACCGGACCCCCTTTTTCAGCGGTCCCTTACACGAGGGGTTTCTCACTCAAACCCCCTAACCTGGGATCTCTAGACGAGGGTACCTGATCCCTGCGCTTCCCCGGTCCCCTGACCCCTCCTGGGTCCCTGTGTCCGCACCCCCACAAGTCCCGGTGCCACTCCCAGATCCCCCTCCCTGTCCCCCCACCCACCCTGGCTCCCCGCGCCTCCCCCGGGTCCCGCGCGGCGGGCGTCGCTGTCCGTGGTGCTGAAGCGGCCCCCTCCCTCCATCCCTCCGGCGCGCTCCCGCTCGCTCGCTCGCTCGCGCGGTGGGATGAGTCATCACCCCCCCCTACCCCTCCACCTCCCCCTCCTCGGTTCCCCCACTTCCCCCGGCGAATCGAGTCTATTTTAAAATCGTCGTTGGCTGGGATCGCTTATTCGATTTCAGAATCGACGGGGGGTTATTTTTGTGTCTGTTTTTTTTAAAAGTCTGCATCAGCAGTAGGCCATGCTTTCCCACCTGATGACGGACGCTTGTGTTGCGCCCGAAACGTCGTGATTTTATTTAGTTTTTTTCATTTATTTTATTTTTTACCTACGTGACTTTACCGAAAAAAAAAACAAAGAGTATGAATCCTTGCAATCACGAAAGCTTCAAATCTAGAACTGTTTGATTTTGTTCGGAGGTTGTGGATTCGGTCCTTGAGTTTAACAGTCGATGGGCACAGGGTCCAAAGCACCAGGCGGCCAGCGACAAACAGCACCGTTCTCGGAGTCGTAACATATACCAGTGAACGCATTTGTTGAATTGAGCGAGGTTATTATGAAGAAGACGAAAACAAACGTCAACACATTCGCCAATAACACGGTGGCCTTACATTGAAAAATACAACAGGCGACGTTTTTGGCAATGAGGCTTCTTCGTGGTATGTTCCGAGTCATATAATGTACAATGAAGGACCGAAACGTCGCCTGTTATTTCTAGATATGTATTCGTTCAAATTCGCAGTGTTATGGACGAATGTGTTGCGTTGTTGTTAAGCGTGCTTGTTCACCACTGCCAACGCAGCATCACCACCACCACAAACAGGTTGTTCGTGATTGTGAGAGCCGGGGGTGAGAGACAATGAAGGGGAGAGGGAATTCCACAGTGGAGCAGTGCGAGGGGTGAAGCAGAAAAACGAAGTGAGGTGACCTGTGGTGTGGTGGGTGGGTGTGATGTAGTGACCTGCAGTGTGGTGAGTGAGTGTGATGTAGTGACCTGCAGTGTGGTGAGTGAGTGTGATGTTGTGACCTGCAGTGTGGTGGATGAGTGTGATGTTGTGACCTGCAGTGTGGTGGGTGGGTGTGATGTTGTGACCTGCAGTGTGGTGGATGAGTGTGATGTTGTGACCGGCAGTGTGGTGAGTGAGTGTGATGTAGTGACCTGCAGTGTGGTGAGTGGGTGTGATGTAGTGACCTGCAGTGTGGTGAGTGAGTGTGATGTTGTGACCTGCAGTGTGGTGGATGAGAGTGATGTTGTGACCTGCAGTGTGGTGAGTGAGTGTGATGTAGTGACCTGCAGTGTGGTGAGTGAGTGTGATGTTGTGACCTGCAGTGTGGTGGATGAGAGTGATGTTGTGACTTGCAGTGTGGTGAGTGGGTGTGCTGTTGTGACCGGAAATGTGGTGAGTGGGTGTAATGTTGTGACCTGCAGTGTGGTGGGTGGATGTGCTGTTGTGACCTGCAGTGTGGTGGGTGTGATGTTGTGACCTGCAGTGTGGTGAGTGAGTGTGATGTGACCTGCATTGTGGTGGGTGGTTGTGATGTTGTGACCTGCAGTGTGGTGAGTGAGTGTGATGTTGTGACCTGCAATGTCGTGGGTGGTTGTGATGTTGTGACCTGCAGTGTGGTGAGTGAGTGTGATGTTGTGACCTGCAATGTGGTGGGTGGATGTGATGTTGTGACCTGCAGTGTGGTGGGTGGATGTGTTGTTGTGACCTGCAATGTGGTGAGTGAGTGTGATGTTGTGACCTGCATTGTTGTGATTGAGTGGGTGAGTGAGTGTATGAGTGACTGTGTGTGAGTTAGTGAGTGGACGAGTGAGCGAGTTGTTATTGTGGCCTGCAGTTGAGCACGGTGTGGATGAGATGAGTCGGTGTCTGGCAGACCGAGTGTGGGTGAAGGAATCAATGAGTGAAGTTCACGGGGACAGTGGTCGTGGCGGTAGCGATTGAAGAATCACATGGAGAATGTAGCTGCCTCTAGCGGTTGCGCGGGTGCACGTGAACGATCCCATAGCACACGACACGCGCGAAAAGAAGAAGCGTGTACCGTGGGTTTGGAGAATCAATATTAATCGACTGGTCTGAGCAGTTACATCCCTCGCGGATAAAACGATGGACCGAAACCTTAAGTACTAGGCCATACACTATCCCTCACCTCTGACACTAAGTTCTCTCCGTTAACATTAGCACTATCCCATAACACTCGCTCTAGCCGCGACAACTAGCTCTAGACTCTAACACTAGCCCTAGCCGCTAGCTCTATCTTCTAATAATAAATATATATCCTCTAACATTAACACTATCCCATAACACGATCACGAGCCTAAAACTCTATGCCTAGCCTCTTACATTCGCTCAGACCTAACACGAGCCCTAGTCTATAACAGTGGCCCTAGTCTATAACAGTGCCCCTAGTCTATAACAGTAGCCCTAGTCTATAACAGTGGCCCTAGTCTATAACAGTGGCCCTAGTCTATAACAGTGGCCATAGTCTATAACAGTGACCCTAGTCTATAACAGTGGCCCTAGTCTATAACAGTGGCCCTAGTCCTTAACAGTGACCCTAGTCTATAACAGTGGCCCTAGTCAATAACAGTGGCCCTAGTCTATAACAGTGGCCCTAGTCTATAACAGTGGCCCTATTCTATAACAGTGACCCTAGTCTATAACAGTGACCCTAGTCTATAACAGTGGCCCTAGTCTATAACAGTGACCCTAGTCTATAACATTAGCCCAAGTCTATAACAGTGGCTCTAGTCTATAACAGTGACCCTAGTCTATAACAGTGACCCTAGTCTATAACATTAGCCCTAGTTTATAACAGTGGCCTTAGTCTATAACAGTGGCCCTAGTCTATAACAGTGGTCCTAGTCTATAACAGTGGCCCTAGTCTATAACAGTGGCCCTAGTCTATAACAGTGGCCCTAGTCTATAACAGTGGCCCTAGTCTATAACAGTGACCCTAGTCTATAACATTGGCCCTAGTCGATAACAGTGACCCTAGTCTATAACAGTAGCCCTAGTCTATAACAGTGGCCCTAGTCTATAACAGTGACCCAAGTCTATAACAGTGACCCTAGTCTATAACAGTGGCTCTAGTCTATAACAGTGGCCCTAGTCTATAACAGTGGCCCTAGTCTATAACAGTGACCCTAGTCTATAACAGTGACCCTAGTCTATAACAGTGACCCTAGTCTATAACGGGGACCCTAGTCTATAAAAGTGGCCCTAGTCTATAACAGTGGTCCTAGTCTATAGCAGTGGCCCTAGTCTATAACAGTGGCCCTAGTCTATAACAGTGGCCCTAGTCTATAACAGTGGCCCGAGTCTATAACAGTGACCCTAGTCTATAACAGTGACCCTAGTCCATAACAGTGACCCTAGTCTATAACAGTGACCCTAGTCCATAACAGTGACCCTAGTCTATAACAGTGACCCTAGTCTATAACAGCGGCCCTAGTCTATAACAGTGGCCCTAGTCTATAACAGCGACCCTAGTCTATAACAGCGGCCCTAGTCTATAACAGCGGCCCTAGTCTATAACAGTGACCCTAGTCTATAACAGTGGCCCTAGTCTATAACAGTGACCCTAGTCTATAACAGTGACCCTAGTCTATAACAGTGGCCCTAGTCTATAACAGTGAACCTAGTCTATAACAGTGAACCTAGTCTATAACAGTGAACCTAGTCTATAACAATGGCCCTAGTCTATAACAGTGGCCCTAGTCTATAACAGTGGCCCTAGTCTATAACAGTGACCCTAGTCTATAACAGTGGCCCTAGTCTATGACAGTGACCCTAGTCTATAACAGTGACCCTAGTCTATAACAGTGACCCTAGTCTATGACAGCGGCCCTAGTCTATAACAGCGGCCCTAGTCTATAACAGCGACCCTAGTCTATAACAGCGGCCCTAGTCTATAACAGCGACCCTAGTCTAT